AATGTTTGCCTTCAAGAATGAAGGATATAGCAGAACAACAAGTTACAATAACGTCAAATGGAATGGCTGTCATAACGACTTGTGTTATGTTTGGATAACGTCGAGTGTGCTAGATTTTGATGTGGATGCAACAAACAAAGTAGAGCCACGAACGGGTTGTTGAGACAGTCCTCGACCTTGGTGTCCTCGGTTGCAGGTGGTTCCGCGGTGAACGTGTCAAAGATGTACAGCGCCGTATCGGACGGTGAATTGCTGGATCTGACAATTCTGCCGATCTTTCAGAAGCTCCTCACCGAGCGGCACAAGAGCACTGCCAGACGGGGCTATCGCTCGAATATAGCTAGTTGCCCGAATATATCCATCAAGTGCGACATCGTCGAGTACCTCTAACGGCCAAGCCGGCGACGACCTGACGCTTTCTCCTCACCTCGCCGGCACGCGAAATCACGTTTCTCGTCACGGACTCATCGATCGTGTAGGACGTGTTAGATCGATTATCTAAGTTAATTATAGTTAATCTCGCGTTTCGCGAGCGTCTTTTAGATTGTTGCGCCCCGAGCGAGCGGTCGGCGACGTTGTTCGCGATAATGCATCGTTAAATCGAAACGTATTTCAGACTGTTTTTACCATTTCGTTGATTTATTTATAAGAATGACGATGGACTTGGAATACCGCTACCGTGCCACCGCAACCGGGTTAATTAATTATTCGTTCCGTCTCTCGCGTCCTCGCTCTACTGCACTCGATATATCACGGTAAAGCGCGGACGAGGACAAAAAAAAGAAAATTGGATAACGTTACGCTCTAGTAATAATAATAATAATGCTCGAATCGTGTAACTCTCTCATCGAGATACGAGAAAGACAACGGTCGACGAATAAAGGTAAGACTTTTTCTATAATACACACGAGAGATATTTTCTAAAGACGACGATTATTTAAGAGTAAGAAAAGGCGAAACGGAAGAAGAAAATAAAGAAACGAATTCGAAGTTTAACGAGGTCTATCGCGAGCTCGAAGACTCAAAGTCACCGAAATCCCATTATCTGCTCGTCTCACTCGTCGTTGTTTGGTTCTAGACCTAAACGGAATAAATGTATGGATTTGCGCGCGATATTATCGAGCACACTTAGTTACTTGAACGTCAGTCAATAGATCTTGTATCTCATTAGTGATGCAGCATGTTACGCGACATATAACAAACATTGCGGTGAAGCGAACGAGAGGGAAAAACTTGGTACACATCCGTGATATAGTACACGCAGTTTTGAAAGGAAGTCGGGGAGGAAGGGAGGGACGGGAGTCGTCTATGTAATCGATATAGCGTATCGTTTTCGGGGGAGTGGGAAAGAGGGTAGGTAGAACCCTAGCAGCGAAACAAATATTGTTTAAATATTTCCTAGTACGACCGAAGAATATTTTTGTGACGCGACTTTGAAACATTGAACTAGTTCTAGTTAATACGGTTAATTAATTAACGAATATATACCTTCGAGATATTTACATTTACAACACAAATTACAGGAAAACGAAAAAAAAAAAAAAACAAAAGATACTTGTTAGCCGCGGCAGATCGGAAAGAAGATTTTAACTATTGACTGTTACAGTGATTTCCAACTTGTAAAGCATTCTTCGTTCATGATTGTGAGAAACCTGAAGAAATGAGGATTTACAAGCGTCTTCGTCGGCTAACAAGTGTTTTACAAAGAGAGGGAGAGAAAGCGAGAGAGAGAGAGAGAGAGAGAGAGAGAGAGAGAGAAAGTGTGTGTGTGTGTATATATACAATCTATAAGGACTGTTAAAGCAGAGATATCGAGAGTATGTTAATTATAGGAGCGTGTCTTTTCTCTCCTTCGAGCGCCCGTTTTCACGAGGCTCGCCAAATCTCAGGCCGGAAGGCGGCAGAAGCGGTATTTTACAAATACTAAAAGTAAGTTTTCCCTCGCGTACATTTCTAAAATAAATAACTATGTGTTTGTAAATATATGTTACAAAGTAATGTATATTCATTGAATATTTCCTACATACACATACGTACACAGATGCATACACAGACACATATACACGTCTAACTTGGCGCGTCTAGCCAATTCTAGGGGGTAATTATGTGAACGTTCACCAAGTATATTTCGTTCTCCGCTAGGGTGCTGTGTTCAAAAATACCTCGAGAAGTTAATAGCGGAGCATGTTAATAAAATGCCTTCGGGTATATCCCTAGAACTGATAATTATCGAATCGAATCGAATCAATGCATGCATTGTCAATTGCCTCATATCCTTTCGTTTTCTACGAGGAGTAATAAAGAAACACGATTCCATTCTACGCGAATCACAACAAAGGGATTCTTCGGTTCGAGGAGAATCGAATTTGTACATCTCTCTTGCTTTAAGACGGGGTGACTTTATCCGAATGCGAATCACGGAGGAAAAATGTGCGGTTGAAAGGTAAAATGGATACACTGCTCCTTTATGCGAGTAAAATTGAGTTTTCGTTACTCCAACTTGCAAGTGAACTCATTAAAAGTAGAGCTCACTGAGTATTTCCGTGAGATTCCTAAGTTTCCTAAGTTGCGAGGGTCTCAGATGGCGCGGCCTAAGTCAACGTAACTTATGACGTGTAATTCACGATTCACGACCAAAGTTAACCGAAGAGTCTAAGAAGAAAAGGATAAAATCTTTCCTTTCTTTTTTTTTTTTTGTGACGCGCAATTGTTCTCGTGTAACAGTACCCCGTTTTACGGCACGGAAGTTCCATCGTGCAGCTCGCGTTTAAATATAGAGACACAACGATTTCAAATTCATCAAGGGCGACATCGCGACTCTCAATTAATAACGGTCTCGCGTCGTTTGAACAGATGAAAAGACGCTCTAAACAACGCGATGCAATATTCAAATAAATTAAGGATAATTTTATTTCCGGTCAATACCGGTCGCATGACGAAACATTCGACGCGTTTATACTCGTATTCCTACTATTAGAGCATGATTTAATATCCCGTAATAATTACGTAAGCCAGTGGTGTCGCAAGAGCTATGCCAAAAGTTTTTTACAAATCGTCGCGAGAACAAAACAAAGAGAAAAAAAACCCGATAGCAATATATATACATATATGCGACTGATGTATGCGTGCGTGCAGCGAAGCCGAAGGCGATTATAAAGTAAGTGTGATAAGAGATTACGAAACGCTCTTTCTTCGAGATACATACATCAGTGTAACATACGGATGTATGTTTTTTGTGAAAAATGGGCGAATTAAAAGTGATCGACTGGAATCCATTCTGTAAAATCCGATTGCCAGACTACGAAACCGGAAGATTGCGTTAAAACTTTGTAGTTCTCTTACGACGAGTCTTTCGACCTCTTCTCGTAAAGAGAAAAGTTTCTTTTTCCGATTCTCTCGATCAAATAATGTAATTCGAGCAGTTAAATTTCTAATAAGATCAGAAATGGAGTTAACAAGGATTGGATGCGATTTTAGAAACTCTATTCCCGCCGATTTCTTTTAATTCGAGATTTATAGGAATATCTAAAAGGTATTTATTATCAGCAAACACGTTTACTAGCGAGGAGTAACGACTCTTTTAGGGGAGGTGATTAACATTTGTTAACATTGTTATCGACTTTTATATATTATTACTATTTACATCTCTCTACCTGTACATATATTTTCGCAAGAGACAATGCATGTATCGTCAATTATCACGCGTTTAAAATATCCATCGTACCTCCATTTCGAAGGAAAAGAACTCTGCAAAAAATAAGTAAATTTAAAGGGATTGTGGAGAGAAAGAGAGAGAGAGAGAGAGAGCCCATCTCGTGTGAATGAAATCGAGAACACAGTGTCGCAGGTCGCGCGTTCCCGTCCTTTTAGCTCGCCTATTTTTTGCAGTAGAAGAGTAAAATAGTTTACGAGTGCACTTACGAGACGATCAAGGCTCGTCGTAATGTGAGAGATTGATAGCATGCCGGCGGATAAAGATAGGATTCTTACAAGTTACCGGGCACGTGTGATATCTTACTATCTAAAATCTATCGAGGTAATTACTGCGCAAGGCGAATCTTAATGTTCACCGCTGTCTACTCTCAATAAAGTGGCTGTCATTCAATAAATACTTTTTTAATTTGACCGTGACAAAAAAAAACAGGCAATTACGTATGTATATATATTATATTAATATTTATAAATTATATATTAATATATACATAAATATGCTATTTAAAATACGCCGCATATATATTACTTGAATTTTTCTCGACATTTTATTGCAAACAAGTCTTTTTGCATATAAACTAACAATTAAAAAGTAATTCCGCTTTCAAGTTATAATAGGAGAATACAACAGGAGATCGCGATTCATCATGAATAAATAAAACGCAATTTAATTTTCTGCATAGTTTTATAATGCATATGAAAAATTGAAACAAAACGGAAGATACATACATCGATTTAGAATTTTAATGCATGCGTGCAAACGCGAATCGAAGTATTTCTGTTGAAATAACGTTTAACTACAAAAATCGTTCGACGAGGGACATTCGAGAGATTTTATTGTTTCCCGCGATGGCCATTTAATCATCCGCTTTTCAAGGCAGATACGTAAAAGCAGATGATTGGCTGTCACATCGCTTTTCACAGCGCAGGTCCCATTCATGTAATTCTACGAATTTATTCTTTGTATATTAAACTTTTTTAAAACTGAATATAGAATAGACCTCTCCATCGTTCATTCCCGTGAGGACGCAATTAATAAATTTTTACTTTCTCGACCTTTTTCTTTTTCCCCTAACATCTGATTATACCGATTATACATCTATCTCATTTTAATGCAGAAAATATACAGTGCAACTACTATTATTTATTTTTTACAGCTACACTTTTTGTGCCGTTCATCTTCCCTCTTTTTCTGTCCGACATCCAATCGTATATCTATCTTATTTTTAAGTGCAAGAAGCAGTGCAATTATCTTTTGCGTCAGGAGAGGCACATGGTGCGCTGTTGAGAGTGCTGCACCTGCACACGTGTAGCGTAACATAACCTCTACTTTTGACGTTTGTAATATTTATTCGACAGATAAAAGCTCTGTGAATATATTTCTGTGTTTACTGTAGTTTATTCTTAGTGCAAAAACACGATTATGGCAAAGGTTTCGTGGAAACGTATTAAGACAACAAGAAGCACGAGAGAGCAGTTGGAAATGCTCGATAAATCGGTATGACGTTTATAAATACATGAAACATTTTTCAAAATATGCATTTATAAACGCATATTTTGAAAAATGTTCCGTGTATATTTATATTTTATATCGCGTGTATTTATATAATATATTACTTATATTATATCTTTACATGGACGTGTCCGGATTACAGGAATTGATCGATAAGATATTACAATTGGAAGCTCACAACGAGCAACTGAAATTGACTATTACGAAACGTACGGATACTAAAATGAAGAAAAAAGAGACATCAGGGAAAGTAAGAAAATCATTTGATTTTTCACGGTAAATACGTTGCTCTTGAACTTGTTACGTTCTTCTTTCATTCGAATGATATCCTATAATTTCAATCTCAGATGTCACAAAAGGCACATTCTGCTAAAGTTTTATTATCTTGGTTGGGACTATCACGGTTTTGCCGTACAGGAAGATAATACTGATACCATTGAACATCATCTATTCGCAGCTCTGCTAAAAAGCTGCTGTATAGAATCCCGCGAGAGCTCAAATTACCATCGTTGCGGACGAACTGATAAAGGTGTCAGCTCCTTCTCTCAAGTAATCTCATTGGACGTACGCAGTAGATTAGAACCAGAAAAGCAAGACGACCTATCTGATGAATTGTCATATTGTAAAATATTGAACAGATTACTACCAGCAAACATAAGATGTATAGCATGGTGTCCGGTCTCATCCAGTTTCTCTGCAAGATTTGACTGCAAGTTTAGAAGCTATAAATATTTCTTCCCAAGAGGCAATCTAGATATAGAGGCTATGAACAAAGCTGCCAAGTATGTCGTAGGGGATCATGATTTTCGTAACATTTGTAAAATGGATGTAGCTAATGGTGTAATTAATTTTAAAAGAACTGTAATGGATGCAAGAGTAAGCTTTCTTAATGATCAGAATGCAGAAAAGTCAACAGGTATCTTCAATTTCTTCAGCTGTTTAATATTTATCATCAATATATAATGTACAATAAATTTTATTTTATTTTCAAGGCTACGATATGTGTGAATTAGAAATCACAAGTCAAGCCTTTCTTTGGCATCAAATTCGTTGTTTAATGGGTATCCTGTTGTTGGTTGGACAAAGGAAAGAAGAGCCTGAAATAATCTTGAAGCTCCTGGACATTGAGACTTGTCCACAGAAACCACAGTACAATATGGCTCATCAAGTTCCATTGAATCTCTGGTATTGTGATTATGAAAGCATAAATTGGTTTATAGACGAAAATGAATTATTAAACATTATCAAAGTATTACAACAGGATTGGGCTCTCAACACTATAAAGTATGTTTAATAAAAGAGAAGTTCACATAATCGTACACACGAGATCAATTTTATAATCAAGTTTCTTTTTTTGTTGTATGCAGATCTACAATGATTAAAAATATGTTGATGAAATTGGAAAATTTCGTTAATTGTGTAAATACTGATTTTCAAAGTGATTGTCTACTTCTCGGAGTACAATCAAAAATATATCAACCACTGATGAAGCGAGAAATGTGTGGTAAGTATATGATCAATCTTACCAAAGCTAGTGAATGTAAATTCATCGATAAAGTCGAGATTTAATTTTCAACTTTCAGTATGTTATTCAAAAACATTTCTTTTTCACTTTACATTACTTATTCGTAATGTAGTCCATATGTTTATTAATTTTGAGACATTATGCATACAACACACTGTTTTAAGTCTATTAATATGCTTTGTATTAGACTATGATACAGACATCCAAAATATTTTGACGGTCATATATATGTAATTTCATGTTTTTTTTTAATACTATACTAAACACAATGTCGCCGTGATTGGACGTTCTACACTTGAGATTACAATTTTTTAAATGTACATTTCTTGAATAGCAGGGTTGGTAAAAAACATATTTTAAACAATTTAAAACATGCTTAGTTGATGTTTTTAATATATTTTTTTTATAATACTGTTTAAAGCATATTTGAAACATTAAAAACATATTTAAGAAGAAACACACGTTTTTTTTTTAAAAAAAAAAAAAAAAAAAAGTCTTTATCAACCCTGTTGAATAGTACAATTTAATTAAGTTAAGCCTGTCCAAGATGTGATTTACGAGCAAAATGTTTCTCCCTGTCATTTCGATGAATAAAATGTACAAGATGTAAGTAACGAAAAAGGGTAGATTATCATATAGACATGTGTTCGTTGTATCCATGCGTTGCAATCAATTAGATATCATTAAAGAAATGAGAATAATTGAGAATAGAGATAGAGTGATTGCGTGAATTAGGATAAACTTAATGAACTTGGACAGACTTATACTACGTAATCCGCTTAATACAAACTGAATTTTACTATTCTATGTATATAATCTATTTTCTTTTACAGACAGTTTGGAAAATAAAATCAAACATTATGAGAAGAAACGAAAATTTGAAGTCATACATTCCGAGGTTACATAGCATAATCTATGCTAATCACAGAATTTATGTAATATATTACACGCATACTAATAGTTTTAAATACATATGTTTTTCTCTCTTAATGTAAATATTACATACAGCGTCTTAAATTTTCACTATATGTGAGGGCTTTATTTAGCCTTATTGTTCGTCAAATTTTGATAGCGGTTAGAATTCTCTAAAAACATTAAATTTTACAGGAACGCTGTGTTGAAATAATGTCGATAGGCCTGGAATAATACATTCGCGAAAGAACGAGAAAAGTTTATACGAAGCAATAATTGAAATTTTTATAATGTATGGAAACTAAAATAAATCATTAAAAATGAATTTTTCTGTGCATAACTTACTAGTATTTTTAAATACTCTATAATGTTGTTATAACTTTATCTAATCTTGGAAAATCTAACAGCGGTTTATGCTAAACATTCAAGTTCATTTTAAAATGTTTATTTACAGAAGATGGAGCTAAAGAGCTATAAAGATGGAGTTGAAAGAGCTATATATACATAATTAAAATGCGAAATTTAGCTTGGGCATTTTAATGTAATTGATGTAAACACTTTCTTTGCTGCTTGATATATTTTAATCGCGATAGCATTAAACAGTGAAGTCAAATTGAAATTATGACTGTGATCGACGATTTAAGAAAATTATCAATCGATGTTTTTCGTTTATTTCTTTTCGGTTCTATCACAGGACGGCATGCATTTGAAACGCGTGTCAAAATTGCTTTCTTCCTCTGATGAATTTTCCTCATTATTTTTACCCTCGCCATCTTCATCTTCCTCTTCTAATTCTTCTTGCTCTAAAAGTCGTCTCGCCATTTGTACAGCATGCCACTCTCGATAATGGCCCTTTCTTTTTGCCTCGAAAGCTCTTCTCCTTTCTAAAACAGAATGCGTCAATGATTAAAATTTTTACATTATAAAGTGATTAATTTCTATATTATAAGATGTCTGACCTTTTTCTTCAGGAGTTTCTTCGTCTTCCTCCTCTTCACTGGATTCCTCAAAAATTTTGGGCTTACTACCTCCAGCTAACCTGAATTTTAATAATAAAGTAGATAATATCAAGTATAATTTTATAATTTTATTAACATATAATTGAAGCATATAATTAATGTATCTTGTATTAATAATTAAAATTATGATATGTATCACATATCTACTCACTTTGCTGCAAGAGCACTAGCGTCTAATTGATCAAACTCATGTTCATTTTGGAGGCCTTCGAAATTATATGGGGTTTTTGGTTCTTCAATCTTCATGTGGCCATAGTCCTTATCAGCAGGATGAAGAGTAGCAATAATATTCATCTCGTCCCATGTTGTTTCTTTGCTCGGTCTACATGATTAATGTAAGGTAAATAAAAAATGGTGTTCATCACCAGGTCTAAAAATAGAATATGTGTCAACTGGGTAATGTCAATTACTTCAACTTAAGAATATTCAAATAATATTATACTTTACTTTGCAAATTCTTAACTTTAAATTGGATAATTCCAAAAAAGTATACATACTTTAATTATATCCCGATAAGAAAAAGAGAATTTTTTTAGAAAATATTTTTCATAGAGAGATAATCGCGAATTCGAACGATATGTTTGAGGTAATGTTGAGTAAAAAACAGTATATCAAAATGAGATCAGGTATTATTAAGAGAAATGTTCGATGATTATTTATTCTTTTCATCGAGACGTTTGTCACGGTCCGCGTGAACTCGTGATTTATAAATACCGGATAAGATAAATGTGCCGCGCGTGACACGCAAGTCACGCGAACCACCTTTAACGTCAACGGGAGACGCCGACGGTAGGTTTTGTACGCGTCTCTATTTTTACGCCAATCGAAATTCAATTAACGCGTCTCTCACCTAGGCGCCTCCGGATTGTCAAAACTGCTGGACGTCTTGAGGATTCCTTTGGAAGGCCGTTTCGACAGGTTCTCTGCCATTATAATCGGGCGTAATCACGACGGTCACTCACGATGGTAATGCCGCGGCTGCATGTTTACCAATGGATTTCACTCCGGCGAAATAACCTGCCTGCACTGGGTGTCACTTGGTGTCACTTACTCACGGGGCATCCTCCCGTCCTCTCGCGCGCTCCTACTCGATTTCTATCATGGCCATAAACGTAACAAATGATAGACTACTCGGCGCCGCCCTTTGGTTAGAGAGAAGCCTGAGAGTGGACATGCTAATGCTGGTAACATTGGCTGCGTTCAGCAGACTCAACAGTTTTGCAACCGTTTTATGATTATCTGCTGAGATAGGACCATTCTTCTAGATCTAAAAGTATGATCCAATTAGCCAATGGCTGCGTTCAGCAGAACGTTTGTTTTGCAACTGTTGGAAGTTTCCTTCGCGCTGATTGGATCATACTTTTAGATCTAGAAGAATGGTCCTATCTCAGCAGATAATCATAAAACGGTTGCAAAACTGTTGAGTCCGCTGAACGCAGCCAATTGGCGGACTCAACAGTTGAGTGAGCGCTGTTATTGGTGTATTCTTTTAGATTATCCAATCAGTATTTTAGATCTGGAAGAATACATCAATAGCAACAAGCGCTCAAACAACTGTTGAGTTCGCTGAACGCAGCCAATGGTCGCGTACAGCAGACTCATCTGTTGCGGAGCGAATCAGTGAGCTCTCGCTGCTATTGGATGATCTAAAAGAATACACCAATAGCAGCGAACGCTTACGGATCCGCTTCACAATTGAGTCTACTGAACCAATGGGCGAGTTCAAGACGGCAAAGCGACTATT